CGGACAAGTGATCGGGTTGGAATAAAAAGGGGTAGTGACATATTTAACGTCATACCCCTGTACTAGTACGAATAAATCTGCTTTTATTTCTCCTTCATCGAATAAAAGAACAAGAGATCATGAAGTTTTAGTGATTTTAATAAGTTACTGTGACAAATTTTCCCTTTTAGGAATAAAACAGCTTCATAAAAAAATATGAATCAATGAACAGTAGTTTTAAAAATGCTCAGAAAATTGAGGTAGCCAACCAGGTACTGGTACTAATACTGAGGGTAATTTGCCATTTACACTCGAAAAAAAGAGGTTTCATTCAGATACTTAGATTCTAGATACATATATAATGTTTCACGTGATGATCGTTGGTCGTTGCGTGCTGGAAGATAATAATAAACGGGGGAGGGGGGGGGGGGGCTTATTCAATACCTTAGAGTAGTGTGAGTGTGTGGGGCGGGGGACTACACACATTTGTGTTTATGATTCCTGCATGATAGTTCGCATGTTCCACAACATGGCCTTAAATCTGTTAGCGGACACATGTGTCCGACACGGCCGTTAGGAGTTAATTAATTGTTTCCTTTATCAAACATCTCTATCATCCTTATCTCTGCTTCTGTTCTTGGTAAGTTACTCTCTACTAGAACCACCAGAAAGTTTTGCAGTGGCGTCTCTTGTCTAGCTGTCACTGTAAACTCTCTCACGGTATCACCTTTAATCTTCGTTGCTAAAAATATGATCTATAAGATTTTCTTTGCAGGTAGCCTACCATAAAACTCTTAGAGACACTAAGATAAAAGAATGTGTATGTCAGGAAATATTACAATGTGCTGTTTATGCTATGAAAACAGAGTAGGCTATTTACGGAGAATGACTGCTCATTTTCTTGTTTTGTAATCATCAACAAGGTTTTTTTAAATCCCCAAGACATGGCGTCATCAGAGCGTGTGATAGGATGGTTCCACACTTAAGTAGTCACCTCAAGAAATACAATGCAGACAGACAGACAGACAGACAGACAGACAGACAGACAGACAGACAGACAGACAG